AATGTCTATGAATATGGCCCAACACAAAACTATAAATTTACTTAAAACCTTTTTTTTTGCTCATCAGTTTTTGTTAGTGTTTGTGTATTTATGTGTGGCCCAGAGACACCAAAAGATTAGACACCCTTGTTTTCCATTTGTTGCCACTTAAGGTAACTTGGTAATTAAGAGCTAGGGTAAATTCACAAATAATAAATGCCCCTGGGCTCATCCTTTTTCCCCTTTGTCACTCAACCTTTATTAATCACCCAGTGTCACAGATCCACACACCCACCTGGCAGTTAAAAGTGCACAGGCCACAATTTCTTTTGACAGAGTCAGGAGACTAAATCACAGAAAGAGAGGAAAGTATGGTGTACCCAGATTGCTGCAAGGCATCCAACAAAGCCTCTGCATCACTGGATATACTAAGTAAAAGCTGGATAAGTTAAGACTGGGCCGATAGTGTTGGGTTGGCCAAAAGGTCCATTACATTTTTTCTGTAAAATAAAAGACATTTTTCACCAATAACTTCACTGATTTGGGTATTTTGAGTATGTTGGCTATCTCTCGCTATTGGCTTATAGTGGGTAGAGGCCAGGGATGCTGCTAAACATTTTCCAATGCATTAGACAACCCACAGCAAAGGATTATTTGGCCAGAATGTCAACAGTATCAAGAAACTTCGCGAACCATTTTTGACACATTCAATCAGTCACAGCACCTTCTCCATACACTGCAAAAATCTTTCTTGTGTGTTTCAGTTGCATTTTTACCTTTCTTGAAATATGGTGTTGGCTCGTTTTGGAGGCTGAGGATGGCCTAGGTTGCTTTACCATGTTATGTTTCTTGAAAGCGTAACATGCCAAAAATGTTGGGTATATTCTTCCATCTTCAATATTGAAATGGCTACACAAAAGTTTACTTGTCTTGAGAGGTATTTTTTTAATGCACACTGATATGACAGCTGTCACTACATGATCTAAGAAAATTGTTTCAAAATGAAGTTAAAAACAACTAAACACTATTAGAATCATCAAATGGAAAAAATGTAACGGACTTTCTGGCCAACCTAGTGCAAGTGAGTGTGCTAAATAACAAGAGTATGAAGAAAATTCCGATTAAGGCATATTTACCAACCCAAAGGAAAGGTTGGGATGCCACAAAGCTTTATCCTAGTGGATATTTACCAAAGATCTGGATAATGATAATGCTTACAGTTCTGTAAGTACAGGACTGTAGAAGCATGGAGTTGGGAGTTGGAATGCCTGAGTTTGAACCACGGCCCCTTACTTATTGGTTATATAACCTATACCAGTTATTAAATCTCTAAGTCTCAGTTTTCTCAACTGCAATATGCAGATAATTATAACTCGTAATGTGTAGGGTTATTGGGAGGATTAAATTACTATACATATGCACATGCTTAGAGTAGTGCTGACAGCACAGTGATTTTGTTTGTTTATACGTATAAACTGTTTTCTGCCAATACCAACCGTTACTGATATTTTCAGATGGTGGGTTTATCAGATTTGCAGATGGATGCTGAATAACTGAACTGAGATAAAGAAGACACTAGTAGGGCAGAAAAAGTCAGAATGATGTGAGCACAGATTACATCATCCTGTACTTAGAGGAAGTTAAGTACTAACGTACAGCAGGGGGAAGAGTATAGATCAAAAGCAGCACAGATCTTGATATTTACATTGGTGCTAAGCACACTATAACATGACAGTAGGTAGGTTGCTAAAAAACCCTAATATAGACTTCCAGCCAAGATGGAGGTGTAGGTAGACACACTGTGCCTCCTTGCACAACCAAAATAAGGACAAAAACAACTTAGAAACAAAACAACCAGAACTGACAGAAAATTGAACTGTATGGAAGGTTAGACAACCAAGGCAGTAGAACAGATACATTCATCCAGACCAGTAGGTGGGGCAGAGTCAGGCAGCCGGGCACAGGGGCTGCAGCACAAAAACTGACACCGGGCACACAACGTACCCCAGGTATGCAAGAAGGCAGTGGGCGGAACCCTGGGCATTCAGGCAGTGGCTGCCAGGCCCCGGGTGCGGGGTGGCAGCGTGCAGACCCAGCAAGGCTGCAACTGTAAAGCAAGGCACTGCCTGCCGGGCGGCTGGCTGACTGGGTGTTCCCACATTCACACACAGATGAGCCAGGCAAACTGGGAAGCCAGATAGACCGCACAACCCAGGGTCCCAGTGCAGGGAAATAAAGACTCAAAACACCAGTTGAGAACATCTGTGGGGGTTGAGGTGCGGGGAGAGACTTCCAGCCTCACAGGAGAGTTCACTGGAGAGACCCACCCACCCAGGAATCAGCACCAGAAAGGCCCAGTTTGTTTGGGGGAAGTGGCAGAAGGGACTGAAATTTGACAGAGAGCAGAGCAAATGCTATTGTTCCCTCTCTGACCCCCCCACCCCCACTTACAGCACCATAACCTAGCCATGTGGGTTGCCCTACCCTGGTGAACACCTAAGGCTCCGCCCCTTGCTACATAACAGGTATGACAAGGGGAAAAAATCGCCCAACAGAACAGATCAAAGCTCCACAGCAAATACAACTAAGCAACCAAGAGATAGTCAACTATCAGATGCACAGTTCAAAGCACTGGTGATCAAGATGCTCACAGAATTGGTTGAATTTGATCACAAATTAGATGAAAAAAAATGAAGGCTATGCTAAGTCAAATGAAGGAAAGTGCCCAGGGAACCAATAGTGATAGAAAGGAAACTGGGACTCAAATCAATGGAGTGGACCAGAAGGAAGAAAGAAACAACCAAACAAAAGAATGAAGAAACAAGAATTCAAAAAAATGAGGAGAGGCTTAGGAACCTCCAGGACATCTTTAAACGTTCCAACATCTGAATTATAGGGTTACCAGAAGGGGAAAAGGAAGAGCAACAAGTGGAAAAGTTATTTAAACAAATTATAAAGGAGAACTTCCCTAATCTGGCACAGGAAATAGACTTCCAGGAAGTCCAGGAAGCTCAGAGAATCCCAAAGAAGTTGGACCCAAGGGGGAACACACCAGGCACATCATAATTATATTACCCAAGATTAAAATGAAGGAGAGAATCCTAGAAGCAGCTAGAGAAAAGGGGACAGTCACCTACAAAGGACTTCCCATCAGACTATCAGCTGATTTCTCAAAAGAGACCTTGCAGGCAAGAAGGGGCTGGAAAGAAGTATCCCAAGTCATGAGTGGCAGAACCTACATCCAAGATTGCTCTATCCAGCAAAGCTTTCATTTAGAATGGAAGTGCAGGTATAAAGTGCTTCTCAGATAAGGTCAAGTTAAAAGAGTTCATCCTCACTAAGCCCTTATTTTATGAAATGTTAAAAGGACTCATCTATGAAAAAGAAGATAAAAAGCATGTATAGTAAAATGACAGCAAACTCACAATTATTAACAATCACAGCTAAAGCAAAAACAGAAACAAACTAAGCAAACAACTAGAACAGGAACAACCACAGAAATGGAGATCACATGGAGGGTTAGCAACAGGGGAGTGGGAGGAGGAGAGGAGGGAAAAAGTACACAGAATAAGTAGCATAGATGGTAAGTAGAAAATAGGGGGAGGCCAAGAATAGTATGGTAAATGTAGAAGCTAAAGAACTTATAACACATGGACATGGAGGGGAGAATGTAGGTGGGAATGGGTATGCAGGATGGAGGAGAATGAAGAGGGGGAAATGGGACAACTATAATAGCATAATCAATACAATATATTTAAAACCCCCCTAATATAACATTAGACTCCCTTGATAGTGGTGAATCTCAGAACCAACTAAAAAGACTAAGCTACATAGAATGTTTTTAGTGGACAGCAATTAAGATGTTATGAATACTCAGAACCAGGCCAGTTGTGATGATGAACTGGAAATATTTACAGAAATAAGGCTCAAAGGATATGACTTGTCTTCAAATGGCTGAAGAGATGTTATGTAGAGATGGCCCAAATGGATAAAACCAAGACCAGTGGGGGAAAAATATGGAGCTAATCCAGCTAGACCCAGCATTTATTCAAAGAGAAAATGGACAGCTTCAGAAATAGCAAGTTCCTGCTCCCTAACAAAAAGCATCTTTGTATACCGGCAACCATGTGAGAAGAAACTTTAGGATCAGGTGTCGTTAGATGCGTGTAAGAGCCTTTAAACACAAGGATTACGCAAGAGGCAACATTGGAGATATCGTTATTAATGCATGCTTTATTTGGAGTTTATGAAAGAAATCCCACTTACCCATATCAGAGTCACCTCCACCAGAGGAGTTCAACTTACGAAAAATCTCCTGCTTCTTTGATTTAACCATGGGTGATGTGTTTTCAAGCTTGGTGAAGAATGAAGGCAAGTAGTTTATACTCCCTGGTGAGCGGGAATCGCTCCTGTCAGAAACATAGTTATATCTATTATCATCTGAACTCCTAACCTGAGAGACTTTACTATCAATGACAATAACAGTCACAGAGAGTATCTGAGAAAACTACTACCTCCCCATCGTGTGTGTGGTTAAAACCCTAAGGAGCAATGTGTGACCATGAGCCAGTTAGTACATTATATTTGAGGACACAAATACTTTAACACTCAAAGGTGAAATCATAAAATGAGGACTGGAATGGAGATAATCTAGAACAAAGATTCTTAGAATGAATAAGCAGCAAACATATTAGCAGAAAAACTAAGAAACAGTTTATAACGCTGCATGCATAACCATCTGTTTATGGTTATCACACGAACTAGGAACTATTTTACTAGCAGAATTACTTTGAAGTACAATACAATTATAATCAATAGCATTCTGGTCTATAAAATAGCAAGAGTTTACACGTAAGTAATTAACCATTGGACTTGAACAGAGCAACTATAACACAGAAATTGTTACAATCATTTCAAAGCCTCCTACCAGATGAACTAAATAAGTTTCAAGTAAAGGGTTTTGTATTTCATTGGCAGCTTCCTATATAAACACATTAAAAAAAACAAGTTTCCTTTAACAGCTCAAGACTACCAAGCTCGAACTGGAACCAGAGATAGTAACGGAACATATAGAACACTGCAGGTAACATAATCCTGTTACATGAACCCATTCATCATTCAAACACAAGTACATGTGTGAAGCTACCATTTGCCAAGAAAGATGAATAAAGTGATATAAAAATGTGTAATTACATTTAACATCATTCCTCTTCAAAAATTTTCTTCCTCATTTCATTGAAAGGTATCAACATCTATTTGATTGCTAATGAATATATATAATAAGTAAATAACAACACATTGAAAGAAACATACTAACAGTTTGGGGTAACACAGACCTTGGTTTAAGGCTGAGCTTGCTCTCTTAGTTTATTTGACCACGGGAAGATCATGTGTTCACCTCTTAGAGCATCGGGAGAGGGTGTTCCACACCAAGAAAACAGCATGAATATGGACTGAAAGGAATTCAGGGAACAATAGGCAACTTGACATGGATGAGAATAAAGTATAAGGGAAAAGTGGCCGAAAATGAGATGAACAGTATAAGCCTGTTCCTAACTCAAATGCCATGCTAATGACTCAGCTCTTGATTCTCAGAGTTTTAGACAAATCACTCTGGCGAAAGAGGACTGAAAAGGGGCCAAATCAAAGATGTCTATGTCTAATCCATGTGGGAATTCTAATAATTCATAGGGTTGGGCTAGGGATAGAAAGAGGTAAGAAAAATAATGTAATGTGGCTGGGCACAGGTAGTCATCATTAACTTCCCTTCCATACACAGTCCACAATGCTTGGCACATGGTAAACACTCAAATGCTAGCTGAATTCAGGGGGGACCACAGAGGCAAAAAAGGTTTAACAAAAGATCTAGAAGAACTTCACTTCACGGAGAATAACAAAATTCTTTTCTATAACCTGTAAGTATTAGAATTTTTCCATTAAAATCCACTAGTAACAGATCACTAGGAAAACAAATGGAATGATCCTCTGAGAGTTCTATCCTCACATACAACCCAAAAGGAAAAAGGCATCAACTTTAAGGAAAATAGAAAGGCACTGAACACACACACACTCTCACAGACGGGAGCTGTTGTCAGTGACATGGGCACCTTGCTCCTCACCTCTGCTCTGCAGGCTCTGCTCTCTGAGACAGTAGCAGCAGGCTGTCCTGTTTCTCATGCACAACTGGAACCTGGGGTGGGGAGATGGGTTCATAGGGCTCTGAAGAGACATGACTCCTCTCTGGGGATTTTCCAGGCCTAATAATATAACACAAAATAATTAAGTTGTACTCCTAGGGCTCACGTGCAGTTTACCCTAAACCCATTAAGTTACCCTGGTTAACTCATTACTTCATTCAGGAGAAAATGAACAAAAGTTGCCAATTTATATCAGTAAAGTTTCCTCAAGTACTCATTATATATGTGGATATTTTAAAAAGTCTTTTCACTCCTGGTTTACCCACGCATGCCTGCCAGATGGGGAAGGTGCACCACACACAGAGCCAGGGCGGAGCCAGCGAGGCCCTGATCTGTCAGGAGGCTCCCCAGTGCTCCAGCATCAGACCCCTCCCCTGGCTCTGGGCCAGGGACTCAGGTGAGCCCTCATGGATTTTCAGGCTCATACTGGGTCACGACTTACCAGGTCTTTCTTTCCTCATTAAGTCAAAAGATAAAGTACTTGAAAACTAAACTGAAACCTAAGGAGTTTGTCCAATGAGTCAAGATAAGTTCTGATATATCACTGTAGGGCTAAGCAGTTCTTCACAATTTAATGTTCTTCCTTTGGATACCATGTTGGTAAGGATAATGTGAGAGAAACACAGTGTAGACAAAAAAAAAAAGTTTTTGGTTCAGTGGTTATCCATGTTAAGAAATATTTATGTTCTTTAACATCTGCTTTTGTTACTGTTATACTTAAATATAATTTGTGATTTCCTTTCCCAGTCAACTCTACCCAATTCTCAGAGGTGGCCATTTTTGACCTTTTTTTTTCTTTTAATTCTTTGGTGGTTACCCCTTTAACTAAATAATCTTACACTTTCCTTGATTTGTAAAACTTGAATCAACTCCCTTCCATGACAGATGAACTTGGCTACCTTCTCTATGTTGTTGCCCATTTTAATCTTTAGTTTGTCTATTTCAATTTTACATAGCATATTCAACCATTTTTTTCTGTGATTTACAACATTTTCATTTTGTCTAGAACTACAGAAAAACTCCTGTGTGTTGTTTTGCTTATAGATTGAAAAACCCACCAGTGGTGCCTTATAATACTATAAATTGTGTGAACATTTAAAACTGTAAAACCAAGAATTTGATTAAAATCCAATGAAAGAAATGTGACAATCCTAATTCAAATGCAGTTGTAGTGATGTACAAATTACAAGTGAAAAAATCAAATGGAATTTTCACAAACACCATCAACTGCTCAAAATCTGCTCTATATCAGGAGTGAACCATGACTCTGTTATACAAGTTTTGAACTTTCTTTGACAATCGAAGTTTTTTTTGTTAAAAGAAAAAATGTGTTTTCATCTTATCTTTAACATTACCCAGCTTCTTGACATGATGATGTCTGAGATATGCTTCAAAATAATCCAGTTTGAAGATGGGCAAGTAGGAGTAAAAATAAAACAAAACTAGCTTTATACTGATGAGTATTAAAGCTGGGCAAGAGATACATACAGGCATTGTATGTATCTCCCCAATCCCAAAAGCATACCAGGCACTGACATCTTGCAAAGACAGACTTTACAAACCTCTATCAGGAAATTCTACCTTCAAGGACAATTAATTGAATTAGTACTGAGAGATAATGCCAACTGAGAGCCAGTTAGTTTACCACAACTGCAGAGAGTTACTGGGACAACTTAAGGATGGGAAAACTATCCAAGAGCTCTGCCATATGGGCACCGTTCGCCTGACACACAGTGCCTTTAACAGACCAGTGTGGCCAGTAAGCTAGCCAGATGTCTCTTGAAGAATGGACTGTAGATTATGGAGAGCTAAATGAGGTACCACCCCCTGTTCATGTAGCTGTGCCTAATACTGCCACTATATTACATAATGTGGCTATGGTCCTAGAAACATGCTATGCTGGACCTGGCTGTTGAGTCCCAAAATCAATTTGTCTTTACCTGGGAGGGTCAACAATGGACTTTCCAAAATGCTTCCTCAAGGCTATCTACATAGCCCCACTGTATGCCATGGCATGGTGACCACAATTTGTCACTGTTTTCTTTCCCAACCCCAGTGAAATGGGCTCATTACATTGATGACATAAATGTTAATCTGTGAAGATTTGCCTCTGCTACAGAAAAGCCTGTGAACTTTACTGGATCAACTATAACAGATACGATGGGAGTAAATCCGCAAAAAGTTAAAGGTCCAGGCACAGCATGCTATAAAGCTCTTGGGAATTGTTCAGTCTGGTAAGATCCATGATTGTCCCTGAGGCCATCAGAGATACAACACAAGCCCACTCCATACCAAAAAACGTGAAAGAGATACAGGCTTTTGCAGAGATTCTGGGGTATTAGTGAACTCATATCCCATTTAGTGCAATGCCTCCACCCAGATTCCTACACTGAGCAAGGGGCATGACTACCTACAGCAGAGTACACTGTCAAATAGCTCTCTGTTTAGAGACACAACTATTAATTAGGCCTCTTTGGATATACAGACCCTTCGAATACCCCTGCTCCTATTCCCATGTTGGCTCCTGCAACCCATAAAATAGGAACAGGGGAAACCTCAGCTGAAGCCTGCTATACCAACTGCTCTAGTCAGGGTATCCACTTACTTGGACAGCAGTTGCCATCCAGCCATCCACTGATACTATCTGGATGGAAACAGGAATAAACCTCACTAGCCAGGTAACAGCTGCTTGGTTAGTAATCACACATGAACCCTGGCCACTAATCCTATACAATGACAGTTGGGCTGTTTTAAAAGGACTGAATCTGTCGCTCAAACAATGGAAAAAGGAGGGGTGGATGGTGAACAAACCTTTATGGGGTGAGAGATGTGGAAAGAGATTTGGGCTCGCCTACAAGAGCCTGAGGCAGATCTCACTGTCTTCCACGTCCCTGCCCATGGGGTATCCATACCCAGAGATAATCAGAAAGCCAATGCCTTGGCAAAAATATATGCTTTAGCCACTGACTGGTCAGTGGACATGGCAAACTGGGTACACTGGAAGAACAGGCACTGTAGTGCCTCAACAGGGTGGCACATATAGAAGGATGTAGGCTGCCTTTACAATCCAGTGATCTGGTTAATGCAGCTGTATCCTATCCTGTCTGCTCCAGTTATACCCTGAACAACCATTATGAGAATTTGGGGCTATCCACCAAAACCCCCAATGGGTAAGGGACTGGCAAACTGACTATATGGCCTCTCCCCTTGAGTGAAGGCTCCAAATATGCTCTGGTGTGTGTCCACACTGAATGTGGTTTAACTCAGGCTTCTCCATGTGAGCAAACTAATCAAGTGGCCACTGTAAAGGAACTAGAAAAGTTAAGTGTTATGTATGGGAACCCCCAATGAATAGAGAGTGATCAGGGGTCACATTTCAAAGGAGGTGATGTTCAGGAATGGGCACAAGAACACAATATTAAATGGAAAGTCCATTTCCCATAAAACCCAAAGGCAGCCAGCCAGGCAGGAAAGAGAGTGTTATTGAATAACAGATAAAGTTACTATAATTAAAAAACCTACTTTGGCTGGGTGGACAAAGATAAGCACCTCCTCCAGTATTAATACATTTAAATGACCAACTCATGGGACCTACTGCCCCATATACCAGATTAGGAACACAGACTAAGGCACCCAATTCAACAAAGATGTGTAAAAGAAAGGACACAATGATAGTCCAAGTACTTGCAATGGATCGAGCCATGATACTGGACATTGAGCCCTATCGTCCCTGAGAAGGTGACCATTTATTGAAACCTGCAGTGGGGCCACACCACTGAGGTGGAGAGGAACTCACACACCTCTGGTGGGATCCTGCTATTCCCACGCAATCAGGACCTGTGAAGACACACTATACATGGACAGAGATGTGCACCATCAAAACGGGAAAAACTAGGGGTCCTAGTCTGGCATACTCCCCCTCCTATTCACCTCTTTACACCAGACAGCACTATCCTCCCCTTGCCAGCATGCAGAGTTTACACAGGCTGGCCAGATTCCTGAGGAGGGGCTACATTAACATCTAAATATCAGGTGACAAGGGTAATGCTCATAGAAGACAACCTCCCAGTTCAAGTCCCTAGTGGATACTGGTCTTTCTGACTTTCTACTTCTGCTGCTCCTGTAGCATCCAGTTACAGGGGGCAGGCACCAGTTCCATCATCCAAACTGAATGCTGTGCTTTTAATACCACATCAGTCTGACAGTATCTCCTCTTCAGGACCCACATAAAAACAAGTGAATGCTTTAAATGACCTATGCCCCCAAGCCTAGGAGACATATTAACATACTGGTTTGGATCTTGGGTGGCATGGTGGAAAAAACTGTTACTAATACTTGGGAGTGTTTCTTTTAATCTGTCTTTTTTCTTGTATTGCCTATATTGTTGCTGTGGGCTACGTCTCCAATGCGTCCATCCAACTGGCAACCAAGCAAGTTATCTCTGTACTAAATGAAGCGCCACACTGACCACTTAAGGTACATGGTGGAAAAGGAGCGGGTGTCAGATTATAAGAGCCAACTATGACAAGTGGAGTATGGAGAAGATACTGTTCTAAGGCATGACCACTGTCTGACCTATGAGCTGGACCTGAAAGAGAGGGGAAAATTGCTTCTCTCAAACCTCCAATGGAAATTGTTTGTCATTGATGTTTGTTGTGATATAAACCAGTGCCTCTCCTTTGCCTCCTACTACATGGGTCCTGGAACAGGCTATTGTCCTGACCTGGTCAAGCATATGAAATAATTTCTGATAGCGCTCATTTATTACTAACCCCCCACTTTACTCTATGTAATTCTCTGGCACTTTCCGAGTGGTATAAGAATCCATTTCATCTTGCAGATGGCCAATGTATATTTTTTATGTGAAAAGTCTATTAATTACCAGACTGAAAAGGCCAGACTCTTTCTTCCATCTTTTCCTGCCCTCTGCTTTCAGAGGTAGATTTTCTGTCCCAGGAGCTTTCCCTGGGTGTGCATGCACTAATACCTTTGGGTAAGCAAATATGCCCTTTACCTAACCGCCCTGCCATATAAAGTGTGTTACTTCTATTGGCCTCGTTTTCATTATTAAAGGTCAACTTCCTAAACATCTATTGCTGCTAACCCAATAGAAACCATGGGGAGAGAAAAATGTTTTTTATGATTCTGAAGGATCACTCAAAGTGTCCTTATACTACCACCAAACTACAGTCTTCACAACTGCCTTTGCAAACCTACAAACAGGAAGTAGCAATTGTCCACACTTTCCAAAGAATGAAGGTAAATACACTTCAGAGTTGAGGAATGAATCCTCAATCTTATATATAAATTAAAATTGTTTTACTGTTGGGAAATTTTCATATGATTTGAAGTAAAGACCATACCTTCCCCTGGATTTGTCCATAAGATTTTCTGGAGAGACCCTTGAACCTGGTCTTTGATGGTGGACAGACTGAGACTGGGATTCTGGGCTGTAGTGATTTGATGTTTTAGTCCTCACAGGGGTAGACACCAAAGCAGATGGTGAATTTTGGAATGTTGAAGTGGGAGGCTGCTGGGAAGGCTGTGAGGAAACTTGATTCCTAGCAAAATCTTGTGTGATAATTTGCTGTGAATGAGAAAAGAATTAAACCCATTAAGTACTTGCGAAGAAAGTGTAGCCCCCCAAAACTAGACATCTTTACTGTGATTCTATGTGAAATGTGCCTTTGGCATGACAAAAAATTAATAAGAATAATGAAAAACTCACACAGATGTGATCAGCAAGTGTGATCAGTCGATGAGTCCTGGGCACTTGCCCCACCCCCTCAGCCTGTGAAGAAGGGGGCAGCTGCTGCTGTGGAGACGGTGACTCTTGCTGTGGTCGATAGTGATGCGATGGTCCTTCGTACTGTCTGGTGGCTTCAGCTAACAGAGGAAAGACAGATGTCTTACTCCAGAGATGCCCCACCTCTCACCCATTATCGAAGATTAAACACAGCTCAAAGGAACACATGAAAGGGATATAGCACATCTCTTTAAATAAAACTCTTATCTTAATTTTTAATAAAAATATTTATTTACAGAATAAAGAAACTAGAGGACTAATATAAAACAAAAGTTGAAATCATAAATGGGTAAAAGAAAACTAATAACTACTTTATCAGCAAATCAATAATAAGCAAGTGAATAATGAATAATAAGCAAATCAATAATCAAATAAGAGCTTGAAATATAACAGTTTTTCATTAATGCAGATTACTTTAAAATAGAACTAATAAAACAAGTTATTTCTTACCATGCTCTGGACAGATAATTAGAAGCAAATGATAAATGCAAATATCAAAACATGTAAACTGGTGGCTAAAAAAGACATACTTTCTGCTTGATTTGCCTTAACAACCTCTGGTTGATAGGGCTGTAGTTTCTCCTGAGGCGGCACAGGTGAACTGGCAGGGCTTATGACCTCAATAGCATCACTAGGTGTTTCATACCGGTGAGAAGATACTTTAAGAAAAGAGAAGAATCTTATTTTAAAACTAATCCTATGAAAAGCCTCAAAAGTCCAACTTCTTCAAACCTATTTGCATATTTTTATTTTTTATTCTCAGAAATGACCAATGGCACCTAGATTAATGATAAAAAATATTGAGCTCAATGAACCATAAATGCCTCCTTGGTATTTCTGATCTTGGTAGGATATAAAGTTTTCTGGAATTTTGGACTCTAGGACCTTTAGGTCTTATAAATAAAAAAGAGATTTGTGACAGTCTCCTGGGAGCAGGAAAAGAAAATCACTAGGAAATAAAAACTTATCAGAACAAATTTAGCAAATAAGAGGGTAGAACTCCACAGTTTATTTTCAATATGTAATTTCAATTCTGTGGGACAGTCAGCTCATAGAAAACCTTCATTACCATGATGATCTTAAAGCTTCAGATTAAGTAACACTATATAATTACTTTTCCAAACCACTATAGCATTATTAACAAAATTACTCCACACAATTTTTAGCACCATGTCACGTTGTGAAAGAGAACCAAAGTGATAGGGACCATGAGAAGGGAAGCCCCCAACAGAGAAGGGTCCCTCCCTGTGAGATGTGAGTCCCAAGGATATGGACGGTCTCTGCAGCAGGGGTCCAGGCAGCTTTTCAGAGCCCTGCCATGGACCCACAGCTGAGAATGGAGGAGAGGCAGATGCAGCTTCCTATTTAGGAATCTTCTGACATAATAGTGCTCTTTCCCTCTACATGCTGCACCAAGAAGCCTGAGAAAACTGTCAGAGGCCTAAAGGATATATGACCCTGGCTTGATCAGCAAGTGTGATCAGACAATGGATCCTGGACACAGGTACAGAAGATGGGAATGGACTCTCCTACCAGGCCACCACCTGTTCTGCCAGCACTCAGCTGCATAGCCCTTTCTTCCAACCCTTCACCAGGTCATGGAATGTTACAGTAACCTAATTTCTAGTATGCTCGAGAGAACAGAAACTTGATAATTGGAATGGGGAACTAAAATGAATCACTATGATCAAAGTAATTTATACTACTTTGCTACTTTTGTATCCACTGGTACATATCACTGTTTATGTACCCAACATGCTAAATCTGCTTACCAAGTTGGAAAGTCAATAGAAAGCCTGATGCTTACACTGCATTCATTGCTTTCAAAGGCTTAAGAGTAAGGTGAAGGCTCTGTGTTTCACTTTCAGAGGGAGGGAGGCTCTGAAGATAAAAACGGAAAACCACACTGAGTAACTGCAAATAGCTTATGGGCTTTATAAAAGTAATTTACCTAATGATTTAAAAAACAAACCCCAGGACTTCCGCCCAAGATGGAGGTGTAGGTGGAAACACTGTACCTCCTCGCACAACCAAATTTAAGGACAACAAAGATTTAGAAACAAAAACACAACCAGAACAGACAGAAAATTGAACTGTACCAAAGTCCAACAACAACAAACCATCTATCCAGATGGGTAAGAGGGGCAGAGTTGGTGGCCAGCAGAGAAGGGTCCCGGCAGGAAGAGGTGGTGGTAGCAGAACCGGGTGTGAGGAGGAATCTAGCAAAACCAGTGAGGCGCACAAGGCGGTTTGGCTGACTAAGGAAACACACATTCAGACAAACCGAGCAACCCAGGGCCCCGACAATGGGAAATAAAGCCTAAAAGCACTGAATTAAAAAACTTATGGGGGTTGAGATGACGGGAGAGACTCCCAGCCCCACAGGAGAGTTCCTTGGAGAGACCCATAGGGTCCCAAAACATACACAAACCCACCCACCTGGGAACCAGCACCAGAAGGACCCAATTTGCTTGTGGAAAGCAGCAGAGGAGACCGAAATCCTAGACAGCACAGAACAAATACCACTGCTCCCTCTCTGATCCGGCCCCCACAAGCAGTGTCAAAACTCAGAGGCATGAACACCTAAGGCTCCGCCTCGCATATGTAACAAGCACGACCTAACCAAAAATGACTCAATAGGAAGAACAAATCAAAGCCCCAGAGCCAATACTTTTACGCAATCAAGAGATAGCCAACCTATCAGATGCACAGTTCAAAACACTGACCTTCAGGATGTTCACAGAACTGGCTGATTTTAGTCACAAATTAGATGAAAAAATGAAGGCTATGCTAAGTCAAATGAAGAAAAATGCCCAGGGAACCAATAGTGATAGAAAGGAAACTGGGACTCAAATCAATGGAGTGGACCAGAAGGAAGAAAAAAACAACCAAACAGAAAAAAAGGAAGAAACAAGAATTCAAAAAAAAAAAATGAGGAGAGGTTTAGGAACCTCCAGGACATCTTTAAACATTCCAACATCCAAATCATAGGGGTACCAGAAGGGGAAGAGGAACAGCCACGAGTGGAAAACTTATTTGAACAAATAATTAAGGAGAACTACCCCAATCTGGCAAAGGAAATAGACTTCCAGGAAATACAGGAAGCTGACAGTCACAAAGAAGGTGGACCCAATGAGGAACACATTAAGGCACATCATCATTGCATTAGCCAAGATGAAAATGAAGGAGAGAATCCTAGAAAAGCAGCAAGAGATAAGGGGACAGTCACCTACAAAGGAGTTCTCATTAGACTGTCAGCTGATTTCTCGAAAGAGACCTTACATGCAAGAAGGGGCTGGAAAGAAGTATCCAAGTCATAAAATCCAAAGACCTACATCCAAGATTGCTCTATCCAGCAAAGCTTTCTTTTAGAATGGAAGGACAGATAAAATGCTTCTCAGATAAGATCAAGTTCAAGGAGTTCATCATCACCAAGCCCTTATTATATGAAATGTTAAAGGGACTTATCTAAGAAAAGGAAGATCAAAAAACATGTACAGTGAATGGACAGCAAACTCACAGTTATTAACCACACCGAAAACAAAAGCAAACTAAGCGGACTCCTAAAACAGGAGCGGAGCCACAGAAATGGAGAACATATGGAAGGTTAGCAACAGGGGAGTGGGAGGAGGAGAGTGGGGGAGAAGGTACAGAGGATAAGTAGTATAGACGGTGGGGAGAAAATAGGGGGAGGACAAGAGTGGTGTGGGAAATGTAAAAGCTAAAGAACTTATGACACATGGACATGAACTAAAGGGGGGAATGTGGGGGAGGGGTATGCAGGGTGGAGGGGAATGAAGTGGGTAAATGGGTCAATTATAATGGCATAATCAATAAAATGTATTTTTAAAATATTTTGAAAACCCCAAAATAAAAACACCACACTCAGAAACATGAACTCTCAAAACAGAAGCCAGACCTTTTATCCTCGGACCTTCTGAAAGTCAAGCTCCTGGAGCAAGGTTCGGTTTGTGACGCAAACTGAAAAGCAGCATCACCCACTGTCTATTGCACTCAATAAGCCACAGGCAGAGGTGTTACCGTGTGTGCTGGTGACTCCTGTCCAAAGGGCCTATTCACATGACCACAGGTCTCCCTTGGCTAGCAATTTCTGCATATCTACTATCTGTTCTGCAGACTGTCATAATCCTGGGCTAAAAGGAAGTCTTTTGTCTACACAACTACCAAGCTGCCCCAACCTCTCCAAAAACCTGAG